ATCTTTCATTCTCCAATCTTTTTTCTCCCACAGCTCAACTATCGTTTTTGGAACATGTGGCAAAATTTGAATGAAAATTCAAGAAAGTTAATCCTAGTACCACGTTTGGAAACTCTTTACCTGACAATTATGTGCATAGTTAATGTTGTATTTTTTACTTCATATATAGTTTAAAAGTCGAGATTATAAGAATAATTTAAATATATTTTATTTCTTCTATATTCCAATATGTTTTTTAAAGAAAAAAAATGTTATAGATCTTCAAGTTAAAAAAACGAACTATATCTCAGATACAGTAATTAACTACTAAGTTGTTATTTAATGAATTTGAGGTTAAAATATTGTCGCAGTCTAAAGACAAAAACTCTCTTGGCCTTTAATTTTTTAAGACTCTAGACAAAATTGTGATAAAGTTTTAAATTTTTAAGTGAACTATAACTATCACCTTTTGAAAATCATGTTCAAAAAATAAAAACGTTGCATCCGAAACATGAGAAAAAGTACATTAACACATTAGTATATCAGTTTTTACAAGAATAATGATAACTTATACTCATTTTAACTTCATCTTTTGTAATTGAAGAGTGAAAAGTAATGTGTCATGTAAAAATTTATTCTATTTCCTTTTACAAATGGCAACTCTTTCCCGTATTTTATTTGAATAATGGTAGGATAATGCACTTACACTTATTTAACATGGTTTTTTATGGTAGAATGGAAAATAATACCTCAAATGAATATAAAAATATACTAAAGTATTTTTTTTTTTCATTTTAGCTTGCATATTTTGACATCCTATCTTATAATTATATTAGAGCACAGACACTCTTTTTTTCTATTTTCTTTCTGTAGTCTCATTTTTTTTTCATTTTGCATATCAACGTCTTAAGAAAATCTCACGTTACACACACTCAATATTTTTTTAAAATTGAGTCTATTATTCATTGATAATTGAAAAGTTATAAATGGTCCTGACACTTACATTATTACCGAAATAAAAATAAAAATTGAAAATAAAATATCAATTATCTTAAAAATAAAATTTACTAAATTTATCGTAAAGTAATGTTGTACCTAAATAACCAGAAAATCATAACTACATATCCTATTTTATATCTGTCAAACAAGTTTATCTCAATAAAACACTCGTCAATTATTGTATTTTTCATTTTTCTAGTCTCAAATTACTATACCAATAGTGATCATAATCCCTAGTCACACATCAATTTCAGGCCCGTAATTACCATCATAGCAAAAAACAATTACTATAACTATTTTATTTT